TTGCCTGCTGCCGACCACCAAAACCCTGGTCCGCACGGTGTCGACCAAGCAGAAAAGAAGCTGGTGATTTTAAAGGACCTATTCTGGCTGTTGATGATATGGTGTTCATTTTCTGGAAAAATTTTTATAATATTCTAAAGAAATATGGACTAGAAGATTGGTGGAGGTCTACAAAGTTTTTTAGACCAGAACAGGAGTTTGGTGTTGTGCCTTATGCTGATTGCTGGAAACAAGAACCAAGGGTAACAAGTTAGTCAGAGCAGAGTTGTTTACTGTTTAGCTCAGTTAAGAGGGAAAAATCCCTAGTAAGGAAAAATGTAGTTGAGATGGTGATAAGATTTTTTGTATCCCAACCAAATTCCTAGCCTCCCACCCAGACTTCTTCAGGCTTAATCACAGGTTCCTTCCCCACAAACGTCTCCAGTGGTTAACAGAGCAGATACTCCCATTCACTATTTTTCTTTTTTTTTTGCAAAAAAAATATAATAATAATAAAAACAATCAAAATCAACTTGTTTTGGGCCATAATGTAAAGTACCATTTTTGACCGTTATTTTTGTTCACTCAATAAGGATCTGTCTTATCTTAAGTTATTGTAACACTTACAGCCATTACCAGCTACTATCAAAACGTGCAATATAGTAATTATTGCAATCAACACCTACCAAGTTAATTTCTGCCAATGCTAAGTGCCGAAAATAAAATTTATTTTAATGTACTTTCTGAAAGAAGTAACAGGCCTGTGTGAACTTTTACCTCAATTCTGTAGCTTTGCCTGTTGTTTCCAGATTTTGTTTGAATGAGTATTGCACTTTATTTGAAAGATTCGTAGCGACAACTGAGTGAAACTTTGAAAGGCTGCTGTTTAACTTGTAAAATCTTGTGCAAGGTTTTATAGACTGAACCCTATTAAATGTACGAGCTTGCCTATAGTCAATTCATATTTCAGAAGGATTTTCTTTGCCAGTATATTTTCAAAGTAGCCTCAAACTGACCAGATCCATATTTGCTAAAGGTTTTATGCCATTGATCTTGTCCTGTGTAGAACCTTTAATAACAAACACAAGTTTAATAAAAGTTGTAAAACTGACTCTGATTGGTCCATCAACCACAAACGGAAGCAGACGTTTGTGAGAATGGACTGTGCAACAAAGTCCTTAGAATGTCTGTGTGGGTGGCTAACCAAATTCATTGTAATTAGTATAGGTAATAGCATGATTTGTAGTGATATTTGGCATAAATACCACGAGTGATATTTCGAAAATTTGAGACAATTTTGAAATATCACGAGTGGTATTTATGCCAAATATCACGTACAAATCATGCTATTATTTGTTTATACTACTACCCACAAAAGGTTTGTAATTTTCACATGTAGGTATTTCAAATTAAACTGAAATACCACTGCTCTAAGCCAATCAAATTGCAGAAATTTCTCATGTAGTAGTATAAAAATTGAAATTTTCCATTTACATTGCAAAAGCTTTCATTGCATTATTTTCAATAGCATTAAGTTAGGCAAGGGTAACGAAATGACACTTACATGTAAGGTTGATTTCCAGTGACGCATTTTTGGCTTGTACATTAACACACGTAAACTTTTTTATCACCTAAATAAAGTAGAGGCAAGATATTTAACAATATTATTAATGAATGAGGCTGAGTATCTTATGAAAAATTATGGAGATCGAGGAGGGTGTTATCGCGGAGGTGGATAACACCCTCTGAGATCTCCATAATTCTTCATATGATACGAAAGCCGAATTCAATAATTGTTTTATTATTCATTCAAAATAATTCCTAGTTTAAAAACATAGCTAAAACAAGCTTACTTGCATCAATGTTAAGTTTATCTTTGATAGTTTGCGTTTAGGTTTGTCCAGCCCCGCAAATATTCTCCAAATAGCACATGTCGCCGTCTGAGTTGTCTTCTTGTTGTTTTGCTATGTTTTTAGCCATTATTTCGCCTAGTTCCGCCTGTAGATGAGTGAAGTGTCCACCATTTTAGTTTTTACAACGAAAACAACTCAATCTGGTCCCCAGGTCTTCTCGGTTACTGGTGCATTAACCTGTAGAAAGCTGCAATTTGACGTCATTTCCTCATCAAACACAAAATTCTTCCAAATTTGGTCATCAGTAAATGTTTATGGTGAATTATGCATGTGCTTTTAGCCAATCAGAATTGGGGAAATATATTTGAATGAATAATAAAAAGTGTTGAGATTAAACATGAAATTGAGCAAGGTTCTACTTTTATGCTTACGTGCGATCTTTCATAAATTTCCTCTATTTCATTTATGAATGTAAATTTTGTGTCAATGTGCGTAAGAATTATGCGATAGTGGAAATCAACCCTTAGGGTTATTTAGCAAAGATTTAAACCTGGAATCACATGGCCGGGAACTGTCACAGGTATTTTTTATTATGATCTCTAATGAACGATTGCTGCTTGAAGTCTTTTAATGGCACAATTTTGACAAGTATGCATAATCTTGATAATATTTAATTGTAAAGTTGACTTCACTTTGCTTGTATTTAGTTTTTCACTTTTATTATATGTTTTACAGTTTGCTCCATTGAAAGTTATAACATATAGTAATTTGAATAATATTTGGATAGTAGTAGTTGAAATGTTTCAGATTGTTTTTCATGTTATTAAGATTTTGTCTATGAAAAATAGTGGTTTTAAAATTTTTTTATTACATTCACTTGGAGTCCTCACAGATAAGTTGTAGCTTTTTGGTGGTCCATTGGTATTAGCTGAAAATGAGTAGCTGATCCTTTGTGGGCTTAGTGAAATGTTGCAATTGAAGATTTTTATTACTGGAATACGTATATTTTATGATAAGGTTATTTATGACGAAAATAAACACAAGAAATAGAAATTTAATAATAATAATTTAATACTTTGCCATGACCACTTGATGGTGCTAAAAAAAAGTAAACTTGCAAAGGCTACCCGAAAAAAGTACATCAAGGCTACAAGCAAGGTTGTTATTTTTCGTGTTTTAGAGTTTAATATGTTTACATGTATTTTAATATAAATTTTCCATGAATTAATTGTCTGATGCTATATTTATTTTGTGAGTGCTTAAAAAATCACAGCTTTTCATGAGACACTAGGATTGTCAACCTTAATCAAGCACAGATAAAACTTTTCTTTGTCATATTATGTTAGTACCTTAAAAACACATATTTAGGAGGCCAAAGTTAAGTTGATGTTGGTTCCAGAGGCTTAAGGGTATTTTTGAAGATAGGTGTTTATCTAGCAGGGCTGTCAACTCTCCCAGATAATCTGGGATACTCCAGATTTTGGACCATAGTCTCCCGGTCTCCAGATTAGAGTCTGAGATCTCAAGGCTAATCGCCAAAGTTTGCCATTTCTTGTAGACTAGACTTTTTGACAATAAAATTTTAAATATTTTGCATTGTTTGAGCTATTAAACTGTTCAACGCAGTGTGCAAAGAAAGTAGTGTCCGATAGCCCGGGGCTAGTGGATTTTGCTATCGGGCTAGTGAAATCCGTTTTTAACTTGCCCGATGGACAAGTGATGTTCTTTGAGGAATTCGAATAACTGAAGAAGTGTCAAATCAATTCTGCTCGATGAAAAGCCTTTGGGGCTAGTTGAAATGACGTCTGGGCTAGTAAATGCTAGCTTCAGCTTGCCCGAATGGCAAGCTGTAAAAGTGATTTTCTTTGCACCCTGTCAACGTCTTTTTAATCCTTTCTATCATGTCATTTGCTGATTACATACAACCATAACACCAAGGAACTACCAGAAAACCTACACAATCTTTTTAGTTTCTCTTGTTCTTAATCATTGATTGGACTTTCTTATTAAAGAGGCACAATTAAATGTTGCACATTCAATATTTTTTTACCCATTTAGGCTTTTTAAATTTTCTCAAATATGAACGTCTCTGATGCAAGTAAATGGCTTTTATATTGTAGCTGAGACCCTCTTGTGGGGGAGGGGGATGCGGGTACGCATGTCCCACAATGTGGTCGTTTTGCTTAATTATAAGGAATAGGACACACCTGGGCCACGTCCCTTATTCGGTATTTAATCCTTCTTTAAGTCGTTTTTCGCCATGTCATCTAGACGTATGTCACTGTTTCAAGGCCATGTCGCTTGCTGGAATTTTACATTAACAGGGCCTCTTAGCTGAATCCCCATAGTTAATTAGTAGGCCATAAGCTTGAAAAGAAGTCTATCTGCATGGTTGTGCTGGCATGGCAACTAACTTTTTACACAATAAAGGGCCCATGCAAGTGGTCTTGCAATAAAATCATGAAAATGCAAACAACAATACAATGCATTTCCTCATAATAGCTGAAAAGTTTGTCTTAAGGATAAGCTGACCAGCTTGCATAAGTGATAAAACACTCATATTTCATAGCAGCATATTAAATTATTAACTTTTTCTTTAACAAAAGTGCCCAATCACTTGTGTCCTTCACAGTTTCACAATCAATATACACCAGTATGTATCTCTAGGTACCCAAGGTTTTCACTGTGGGAACTGGGTTGGAGCATGGAGCCATTAACACACGAAAAAAATAACAGATTCCCATTATTGGATATTTTAGGGTATTTTAAAGAATACCCATAAAAATCCCAAATTTGGCAAAGTGAGACAAGTCTCAACAAGGGTATTCCCAACCAAGTTCCCTGGTTGGGACTTGTCTCACTCTTCCAAATTTGGGATTTCTGTGGGTATTCTTTAAATACCCTAAAATGGGAATCTGTTATTTTTTTCCTGTGGGAGGGGTAACACATCTCAGATGTCAGCAAATGCTTGCTTTTCGATGAGAAACAAAATAAAACCAAAAAAAAAACGAAAAAGAAATGAAGCGACAGTCACGGAAAAAAAAGAAGAAAAAAAAAAGAACAGGAACAACATTTCTCTGTCGCCCTCTCTCCCTTTTTTTTAAAATAATAATAGCCGCCTTCGACGAGAAGAGACTGGGTTCTATAGTAGCTACGCGGGCTCAACTACAAAATGGCGCCAAAAATTTCGTTCGAATATTCTCTACGCTTGTTTGCAAATTTTCCCTTCTTTTGACAGGATTTTGTCTATGTTCGTGGACTTTAGCACTTTTCGTAGTCTAGTGGACTTCTTCATGTTGCGAAGAATTGAATGTTTTCAGGAGAAAGCGATTTTCTAACCGCGTTTGATTCGCGGGGAACGCGGAGGTCAGTCCATTTCAACTACAATGGTGGGCGAAGAGACCGAGATTAAAACGCTGGTGAGTGGTTTTGAATATCTAGTTTTTTTGTCTCATATTTCTTCTTTATTTTTGACTAAAAGTTTTAACGATCAAATAAATCAACGGTTCAGCTGGTGAAAGCCTAGAGAAACATACAATATGTTGAACTTCCACTTCGTCATGTACCATTGAATTGCAATAATTATTTAATAGAACTTTTAAGCTTAAAAGTCTTAATTGACTTAGTTTTCATACAAGTGTGACCATTCTAGTTACACTGCAAGAAGTAACAATCAACGAGTTCTGAAATGAGGGGAAGATTGCAATATTATTTTGAACAATATTAGTAATACAGTTAAACCTAACGTATAATAAGCGACTACCCTTGGGGAAGGAAAAAGTGGTTGCCTGCCAACTGAAAAGATGTTGTATTTTCTTGTTTTTAAGTGACATGCTGACAATTTTCTCCACTGGTATTGGCAGAGGTTTAGCTGTTGTACTAACAATAATAAAAATAACAAAAAGCAACAGTAACTGCAACAACAACAACAACAACAACAACAACAACAGTAACACTAATTTCAATAATAATACTCTTAAGTATTAATTTTATAATGGCTCACTCAGTTCGGCCATCCCCTTTTTTTTCATTTAGTGTTGAATGCATTTTCTGATATTGGGCCGGTCAGTTGGATTGAAAAAAAAAACCTAAACTGCGTCGTTCCTTTTTTTTTTTTTTTTTTGAAAATGCCAAAAACTTGGGTCAGTCAGATGACACTAAACGGAGAAAACAAAGAGGATGGCCTTAATTCCAATAAATTTGTGCCTATCCTCTGGGCTGTTGTTAGGAGTTTTTTGTTTTTCATTGGAAAACTGCAAAATATTGTAATGCCTCTAAGGCTCATGTGAAAAATCTACTTTTGTCGTTCACAAAATGATATGTAACATTAGAAATATACCATAATTGTAAGCACCTTGCAACTCCTTTGGCGTATGTGAAAGGATCGTCTTAAATTTGCCAATCTTTACAGGAATCAAATGATCTATGATTGAAGCCAATAGGCCGTTTTACAATATAATGGATGGAAGCGAGGGTGACAGTGACCTTGTTTTGATATAAACCTTCCTGCTTTATTACGTAAATCAAGTTATTTTTATGTTTACTAGTATTTTTAAACAGCAATTTCCATAACAAAGCAAGGGAGGTTTGTATCAAAAGAGGGTCAGCGCTGTTAGCCTCACATTCACCTGTAGGCAAGGGTACTCAGTCCACAAGTTTAGAATGGTCTATTGTCATGTGTGTATGTTGTGGTTTAGTTTTATTCTTGCTTTAAGATGGAATCCACCAGGAAATTGAGTAAATTTATTTCAGTGGACAAAAACCTTGTACCAGAACAATTTGAATAATATTGCATTCGTTTTTACATTTTTCAAGGGCTAAAGATGTAATTATTCATCTGTAATAACACCAAAGCAGGGTTGTCATTAAGAGCCGGGGGCCGGGGATTTTCCCTGGCTACTAAGAGAGTGGCCCCCTGCTACTTTATTGGAAAATAGAAGAAAAATAGAACCAAAAGAAATCCCTAGCCATTTGATTCCCCGCCTACTTGTTGTATTTACCCGGAAACTTGAAATCTTAGTGACAACCCTGCCAAAGACTATTTCTCATGGGAGTCCCAGAAAATGAATGTCAAATTTCACAAGAATTGTGAAAACACAGGTAAAATTCTGAAAATTTAATGTGTAAGATGTCATTTTGTGAAATTTGACAATTTTCTCGGGCTCCCACTAGAAATGTTCTTTGGTGTTATTACAGATGACTAATTACATCTTTAGCCCTTGAAAAATGTAAAAAAGAATGCAATATGCTTTAAATTATTCTGGTACAAGGTTTTTTTCCACTGAAAATTAAAATTACTCAATTTCCTGGTAGATTCTGTCTTACATTTGTGTACTTTCTTTCCCTTTATCTCAATCTCAATGTCATAATATTACCATACCCCAAAACAAAACAAAAAATGTAAACCAAGAATAAAATTGGACCACAACATGTATTTTGTTTCCTTTCACAGCCTGATGCAACAGATAGAAGTCCAAAGGGAATGAAGAAGTGTGGATTGATTAATTCATTTTTTAAACCTGTTGTTAAATCAAAAGAAAATACAGAATCAAAGTCAGAAACTGAAACATCAGCAAGTGTTAGCTCTGATGATGATGGTAATAAGAAGGACAATGCTGAAATCATTCTAGAATCTAATCAGTCAGGTTTATTTGAGCAAAAGGAAAAGTGCTCTAACTCAAAATCATACCCTGATAACGAACTGTCATCTCAGGAAGAGCATGTTGGTGTGAAATCTAAGCAAACAAAAGCTAAGTCTTCTATAACCTGCTCTGTTCAAAATGCCTCAAACATTTTGAGTAGTTCAGGATCTGAATTTGAAGATGATGGAAGGAGTTTGCTCACAGCAAAAAGTAAAGAACGACAAAAGTGCAGGAAAAATAATGAGAAAGCTGGAAAAGGAAGTGAATTTGGTGCTCAGGAAGTTGAGGGAAAGAATGTTGTAAATGATGGAGAAAAGGCAGTTAAGAAACCAAGGACGTTGGTCAAGAAAGGGAAAAAAGGTACAGGAACTGGAGGCAACTGTACCAGAAGTTCAGAACAGTCTGGTCAAGACAAAAACAAAAATGTAGATGGCAAAGAGAGAGAAAGTAGGTCTGTTGGAAATTATCAGTCAAATGATTCAAACAAGACCTCTGTGGAACCTGCTTTTGATCAACACATTGAATTAAAAGCAGAACAAAATAGTGAAGAAAATGAAGCAAGAGATGCATTGAGAAGTAAAGGGACCACAGTAATTAGGACTAGTGCATTTGATGTCTTGATGAAAAGTCAAAGAGCTCAGAAAACAGACAGTCATAGCACTGAAAGCACGCCATCTGAGGCTTTGCAATCAGATGCAATACCTTGTGACACCGTAGAGGATAACTCATGTTCTTGTGAAATAACTGATGTGAAGGAAAATCTTCAGTCTAAAGAAACTGCTTCTTGTCAATCAAAGTCATTAACAGAAGAATCTTCATCTGATAAAAGTGAAATTGACAGTAGTCACAGAACTAATGCTTTTGATTTCTTGATGAAAAAAGGGAAGTTTGTTAACAGTCCTTGCACTGAAGACTCACAAGCTGAGATGGAATTAGAGTCTGACGCCACAGGGGACTTTGAACAGTCACTGAAAAAGAAACCCAAGAAAAAGACCTTTGAGTTTCAGCTCAGTATACGTGCTAGTAACAAAAAGGACATTGAAATTTCATTTGAATCTGAAAGTGTCAGTTCTGATACTTGTCAAGAGAAAGCTCAAGAGAAAAGCAAAAAGAAAAAGAGAAAAAGCAAAACTGACAGCATGTCTGCTGGTGAAGGCAAAAGTGATCATTCTTTTGTCAATGAAAAGAGTGATGAAGGGGATTTTTGCAAATCCAAGAAAGTAGGAAAAAAGTCCAAAATTAAGAGCAAAGTCAAGAGCAAGCAAGATTCAGCTGATGTTTCCCTTCTTGAGGAGCATTCTGAAGAGGAAAATAAGAATGAGGTTCAGAAGAAAAAGAGAAGATCAGGAAGAAAAAGTGCCTCCAATGTGGGCGCAATGGATTTGGATTCTAACTACCCAGATGATGCCAAAGAGTTTGAACCAGCAGGCAAAAATGTAAGGAAAAAGGAAAAGTATCAGGGGAGCAATGAGGAGAATCATGGTGATATCAAAGGGAATTCCAGGAGGAAAAGAAAAGCTAAAAGAAGTGATGCTAGTGCCAGCAAAAAAGCTGAGGAGAAAATAGAGCTGGAAACTGTTTCTGATAACCAGAGGGAAACCAGCGGTAGCAGAGGTAAGACTATAAATTGAGATTTGAAAAGAATGAACTATTATTTCTTGACTAATTTACATAAGTTAGATGTGTCATTAATTTTATCAACACATTTTACTGGTGTACCAGTCAGTTACATTGTAATAAGAAAAGCTCTTAGTTTTTGTGAGACTGCCAGAAACTTTTTTAGGCAATTGAAGGGATTTTGTACGTCAACTGGATTTTTCTGATGCAGGAGCCTTCCACTTTTACTTGGGGTGAGTGGGGAGCAAGAAGAAAAGGAACCACCTTTTTTGTTCTCAAAGGAATTAGAACTTGAATGGAGCAGTCAGTCTGGTTGTTTACAATACAGTACCACTCAAAAGTAAAAATAATTGAGGAGACTTGATTCTTGTGTCTTGAAACTCGAACGAACTGGGTTCTCGAGTCTCAAGATGTAAGAATCAAGTTCTCGAGTTTCGAGAAAGCTGCATTTTTGAAGTTTATTTGGTAAAATCTTCAAAAGAAAGTAATTTTTATTACAGTCAAAGCTCTGCTTGCGACCACTCTTGTTAGCAACCAGCTCTACTTATGACCCCCTTTGTGAAACCTCGTTTGAACTGTGACTTAAACTTAATTGTAATAAAAAACTCCCGTAAGCAACTGCTCCTGACTGGACTTTCCCTTGTTTTTAAGTTCTCGTAAGCAATCACTCAGAGTCTTATTCATATAAATCGACACTTTGAAGAAGCTGCACACTGCGCTTATGGTTCTAATATTTGGACCTGAGGTTCTTTCAGTCTAAAAAATTGGACATAAAGCTTACTAAACATACCCTGGGTGCCAGAGACTTTTCATGCATGGTTTCCAGTGTTCAGTTAAATCTTTACAGTGACTTCGGCCTGTGGCCGACACTGAAGCATCCTGCTGCACGTGAGAAAAAATCTCTGTTACTCAGGGTGTGTTAAACATTGATTTTGATTGTTTTTCTTTATGAATACTAATGATTTTCAGAAGCTCTCCTAAGTGAACACCCTCTATTGTTTTACCATGCGGTGGCTTATGAGAGCTCATTCTTGTAAGCGACCAGCTCTGGTTATGACCACTTTTTCGAATTTCTGAGATGGTCGCTTACGAGAGCTTTGATTGCTCTTGAAAAATTCAGCTGGTGGCTGAGCAAATTATTGTCTTGTCAGTATGGGTGTGATTGCTCAGAGATGTCTTTTTTGTTTAATATTTTCTTTCAGATCCCAAACCTTTAGCAGCCATATTCCTCAAGAAACCAGCAGCCTCCTCTAAAACTGAAATCACGCAAGAAAACCAGGCTATTGGCAGTCCAGGTAGATCAGCTTCATCCAGTTTAACGTGTCCATCAAACATTTCAACTGATGCTAAAGACAAGCAGAAAACAGTTGACAAAGAACTTCCTCGGAACAAAGAAAAGTCTGCTGAAGAGAGAGAAGCAGCAAACAGGGCATTCAAGGCTCTCTTCACAGGTGCAAGCTCCCAAAAGGCAGCTCCTTCTGTTAATGTTATTGAGGCACTTCCTGTTGACAAAGAACTTTCCCACACCAGTGGCAAGTCTACCAAACAAAGTGTTGACAAAGAATCTACTCAATCCAAGGAAACGTCTGCTGAAGAAAAGGAAGCAGCTAACAGGGCATTCAAAGCTCTGTTTACAGGTGCAAGTTCCCAGAAGACAGCCACTTCTGTTAGTGTTGTTGAAGCATGTCCTGCTCCTTGGCCATCAGTTAGTCATGTGTTGCAAAAAGATGAAGATTTTTCTTCCAATGAAAGTTTTTGGTGTCTTCCTTGGCCTGTTGGAAAGGATTGTAAATTTGATGTTTCCTTACACTGCTATTTGCTTTCAGAACGTAAGTGAAATGTACTTGTACCATTCAATGAATGATTATTTTCATTGATTATTTTTTATGATTATTTTTATTTTTAATGAAATGGTTTATCAGAATCAATCAGAATGTACCATTACATTGTATCAAACAAGCAGATACTGTTTTTACAGTTTTTTAATACTGAATCGAGCATTTATTTGCTGATATTGTCCTGGATTTAACTTTATAGGGGTTTACCTTATTTGTAAGCAACTTATACTGGAGCTGTCCCTAATTAACATATATAATTAACTGTTTTAAATATTATTGGTGTTGGATGACAATGCTCTGCTATACCTCTTTTATTGGAAAGTTTGGGGGACTGTTGTTTCCTGTTGGGCGAAATTTCATGTCTGCACTTACTCTTTACCAACCTAAGGCCCAGTGAAGCACCTGTTACTACCCCCACCCACCCCCTGCCCTGCCTCTCTGGATGGGGTGCGTCTCTATCACAGGGTTATCCACATTGGTACGCTATATGTCTGTGGTAGTATTTATACTAACATCAGACAGAAGAGGGAGAGTGGATCAGGGCTGACTGCCATTAAGAGCCCGGGGCTGGGATTTCCCCAGCTGCTTTGAATGTGGCCTCCTGCAGCTACTTTCATAGGAAAGGAGAAGAAAAGTAGAATCAAAAGAAATCCCTAGCTGTTTGATTCCCTGCCTACTTGTTACATTTACCCGATAACTTGAAGTCTTAGTGGCAACCTTGGTGGATTCAAATAAATATTTTTTCTAAGAAACAACACAACGACAAGGCTTGAACTTGTACCGAGAGATCTAAAGTTAATGTTATTGTTTGGCCACCACACCTCTACCACTTAACTGAATGAGTGCTACTTATTATCAATGACTCTTCTTTATAAAATTCTTAACTCATTAATTTCTCTCAACTCCAATAATTTGTGCATGGAATTTTTTTTCAAAAGTTTTTGTTTCATAAAAAACTAAACTATTCTTCTTTTCTTTTTCAGGTCCACTAGATAATGCAATTTACAGCCAATCACCATTAATTACGCAGAACAAGGTCTTGCATGTTGCTGGCCATTCCATGGGTAACAGGCCTCATATGGTTAGTACATGTATTCTATTTTGATAAGCTAAACTTTTAGTTTGTGGTAGAAAGTTAAATTTTTTCTGAATTTTCCTTGGTTTTTTTGAATAGGAAAAAAAGACAGAACAACCATCCTTCCCAGAAGCAGTTATTAGAAAGATACTGTCAGAGTTAGCCTTGTTTTACCCTGGTGTACCCTTGCGAAAACTTTACAAACGTTATGCATCAAAATTGGAAAAGTACAAGGCATCCATTGAATCAGGTGAGAACAAGCAACTTGCTCTAGAGAGAAAAGTACCAATGGATCATACTAAAAAGGATGAAAAGTTACTTGAAAGTAAGGAAGGACTTCAAGAGGTGAATGCGGATAGTCTACCACGTAAGATTGGAAGAGGAAAGCGACGACTCTCCAGTGACGGTGGTGTTGGTCAAGAGAAAAAAATTGCAAGAAAAAGTGGTATATTTTCAGCAACATTGCCTTGCAAAGATCAAGGTCTAGTAGGAGATCAGTCAGCAAGAAAATCATGCAAGAAAAGACAGAGAGAAGAAGATAAGGATCACCTTCAAGAGAAGGCCTGTAAAGGTAGAAGATTGTCCACCAGACTTCAGGAAAAGAAACAGACCTGTGCTGAAGACAAAACTGTTGACAATAACGTACCTCAAAAGCTTGAGATGTCGTCTAGCAGAAAGAAGCGAAAGAGAACAACTGATTGTGATGTAGATGTGACAGAAGTAATTCATACTGTTTCTAAAGAGCAACTTACATGTGCCATGCCTGGTGCTCCCACAGATTCTAAAAGTGATAAGACTGTGAGTGTTCTTAGTGATGCTCTGTGGACTGATTTGTATCGTCCTGTTCATTCTACTGAAGTTATGGCAAATGCCTCTGCTGTGAGCAAACTGAGATCCTGGTTGGGGGAATGGAAGGTAAAGAGAGAGAAAACTCTCCGAAAAGAACTACAACAACAGAAAAGGTACACATTAATTTTATGCTGTGTAATTTTGATAACTTGAAGGGATTTGACAGTGGTATAACATCATTCTCACTTTTTTCAAAATTAATAATACAGAAAAGTAGAAATGTATGCATGACATTGTCTTAGTTTAGACTTAGTTTAAGTTACAACAGTCTTTCTTGATTGATGAAAGTAATTATGGCCGAAGATTTATCCATTTGTTTCCAACTACCAGAAAAGGCTTTTTTGGGGTTTGCACAGTCTTGAAAAGTCCTTGAATTGCTAAGGAAAGTCCTTGAATTTTCTTCAACTTTGAATGTACTGGCCTGGAAAGTGTTTTTTAATGCTTTTTGCTTGTCCAAGACACTATAGAATCATAGCTGGTGACTAACATAAAGTGCCTTTTGTTTTATGCACTAATTAACTATCAATTAATTTTTATTAAGACAAGTGAAATGAAAAATTGTGAAATTGGAGGGGCAAACAGTTCAAACCTTAACGTCCTGTTTGAATGAACTCCCAAAGGGGATTTCTGTGCAGTGTGTGAAATAATAACAATCCTAGTAAGTGGTCTAAGAAAATTGAATGTGGTCCTCTTGAAAGGTCCTTGAAAAGTCCTTAAAAAAATGGTTGTGATTTTTCGTATGAACCCTGTTTTTCAAGCCCTGTTCATGCAGCTTAGGTGACCAAGCTACAATATTTTCCAGTTTAGAAAAATAGACCTTTTTAGGCATTTTTGTGTCTTTTGCCCATTTCCATGCCAACTGTGTGCATAAGTGTTATTACATAATGTTTTTGAAAGTCGCATTGCCCTCCTAGTTCTGCTTTTTGATGCAACAACAACAACAACAGCATGTTAGGTAATCAAATTGGGTAGTGAGAAAAAACAGACAAAATAAAAAAAAATTGATACAATACTAGAATATTCACTTATTTTTTTGATGATGATGATGATGATGATATACCTTATTTTTACACTCATTGTTTTGCCATCTCCGCCCACAAATAGCAATAGCTAGACAAGGTGGGCTTCAATTACAACAATCAATGCAACATCAATACAACATCAATTTGGAGGAAAAATAGTAGGTACCATATTGGTTAAGATCACCACAATATTGTAACTGCTTGCACTATACTGTACTGTTTTCTGCTTTTCTAGGCTTTTAGCAAAGCAGAAAAACAAAGCATCAAGCAGCCAAACCAGCAGTCAGACATTGGAGTGGTGGGATGCTGACAGTGACTCTGACTTCCAGATGAGTGATGGTGATTCAGATGATAGTGACAGTGAAGGGATTGGACTGAGTATTGCCATGTTTATTTCTGGTCCTTCCGGAGCTGGGAAGACTGCCATGGTGTATGCTTGTGCTGACGAACTAGGCTACAAGGTTTGTTTCTTTATTCACCTGTATTGATAAGTCTGTAGGTCTGCACCCTGGCAGCAGAGTCTTTCTTTCGCTTGCCTGGTTTTGGCATAGCCTAGCAAGACTCTGCATGAAAGGAGTAAGATTTTTTTGACCACGGGTGGCATGTTACTATGATGTACAGGTTTCACACAGAGTCTTGAATTCTTTAAAAAGTCTTGAAATTTCCCCAGCAGTTTTCCAGACCTGGAAGAAGTCTGTAAAATAGAGATAACGTCTGCAAAAATGGTAAAAAGTCTTGAGTTTTTTCCAAAGCCAAAAAAAGCACTTTATAAGTTAATTTTTTTTTCATTTTGGGCAAATCTTATTCAATCTTGCCCATACGTTTGCAGGGCATCATGAAAAAAAGCTTTGTTCCTGCATTTTAAAAGTCTCTTTTGATCACCTATTTGATAACCTTGAGTCTGGGAAAATGGATGTAGGCTCGAAGCCAGGCCTAATAGCTGCGCAGTTGCTACAGTGGGCTCAGTTATGACTGTTGATTTATCAATAAACAGATGAAAAAAAAAAAAAACAGTTTGACAAAAGAAAACAAGATTGACTAGTCCAGACATTTGGGCTGCAGCAACCTCAAAGGCTTGATGTGATACAGGTAAAGGCTTCTTTTCCACTCCTTGATCAAAAAGACAAAAAGGTCATGCTCTTCTCACTGGGTGATAGGGATAAGTTTACATTTCAGGGAAACTGCCCACCTACCCCTCCCCTAAGCCAACATTTTGCCCTAAGTAAGAACTAAGTGTTAATGTTGGTTTAGGGGAGGGGTTGGTGGGCAGTTTCACTGAAACGTAAAATGATCCGGTGATAGATATACAGTGTCCCTCTTAGATTTCACCCTACCTCAATTTGTTTCCCCAGTGCTGTCCATGTTATAAAGTATTTTGGAGTTGGTTTTTCTCAAGAGAGTTGCGACCTGAGTCAAAAGTTCTAAGAGTCAGTTTAGACTATAGTGAAATCCTGTTGTCCCAACCATCCATAATTTGCTGGGTGGTACAATGTATTATTTTAATTCAAAAAAGATGGTCTTATTGGATCAATTTATTAGTTTAGGTTTCTGGGAAATTACCCACCTATCCCTCCCCTAAGCCAACATTATCACTGACTTCTCACTTAGGGCAAAATGTTAGATTAGGGGAGTGGTAGATGGGTAGTTTCCCAGAAAGCTAAATTGATCTGTCTTATCTACAGTGTTGTTGTAATGAAGGCTTCCACTATCTGTTTTTTTTAAGATTGATTAATCCCATTCCATGGCTATGAAACCAAACAACAAGTTTTGTTTTCCTTTTTAAAGGTATTCGAAGTCAACAGTGCCTCCAAACGCTCTGGCAAACACATCCTTTCACAGCTTGAAGAAGCCACTCAGTCGCATCTGGTTACCAGCAACAAGCCAACAACAACCATTAAGGGTCCGGTCCCTGAGTCATCATTTGCAGGTCTGTTCAGTAAGCCTGAGGCAAATTCGTCCTGTCCATCTGGACCCCTGGGGGCCTTATTTCAGCAAGCTGGAGAAGCTTCAAAGAGCAAGGAAAAGAAGGGTGTAAAAGGAAGCAAGGGGAAGAGTGTTAAGGAGAAGAAAGGAAAGTCCAGAGCAAAGGGAAAATCTATTCTGAAGCAGCCATCACAATCACTAAGTCAAGATGGTACAGAGTCTAATTTATCTTCTAAGGCAGCGTCATTGATTTTGTTTGAAGAGGTCAGTAGTCTTCCTAAGCTTACTTACATACCTAGGGTGATCCCCTGATCGAAACAATGGAATAATGGACAGCCTGTTCTTCCTTCTGGGAGTGAAGTGATAATTGCTGTAAGGCCGTGAATTTGCCTTGTTCGAAACTGGTCTCTCTCGTTACAGTAGACAAACATAACTTGTGATCCTTTTCATCTACAGTGTTTCTTCAAGGGTTTGTTTTTGTACAAAATGACAATATTGGTGCACTTTTATTGCCTACTGGAGCTAAAAAGGATTATTCCAGTGCATCACATTGTGCCAATTTCTCACTAACCAGCGGATACACTTTTGAAGGGGATTTTTTATTGTTAGAGTTTGTTATTTTGGGAAAATAGCAAATTTAACCGTTTGTAAACCATCGTGGTGAAATGGGAGGCTTGGGCTTATTAACTTTTCCTACCTACATGAATAGCGTGGTTATTCGAGGTGGATGCTTATTTGAGGTTGGGCACTTAATCGAATAAATACAGTGGCAGGATTGATATCCTACTGAGGAGAATCGCTAGAATGAACCGCGAATCCGTGCTCTTGGCAATCAAAGTTAAATAAATTATAGTACATATAATTATGTTCATCTCCCAGTGTGATAGGGCTTGATTTTAGTTTAAAAGGACCCTTTCAGTGCCCTCTAGGAAACTAATTTCCACTTGCGTGGTTATTTTGCATCCATTTGTCTCAAAGTATGTTGTTTTACAAGTGCTAAATATCAGTCAACAGTGAGTTTTCGGTTATCTTACCCGTTTAACGGTATAGCATTAGTCTACATGCACAGTTTCGGGAAAAACAATCTCCTTCATCTTTCCATAGTTAGTAACTATGATCTTTCCCACATAGCCGCTTTACTATGTAAGAAAGATGAAGGAGACTATTTTCCCCGAAACTTTGTGTGCATATTAAGGACAACAACAACTCGCCACATTGTAAGTTTCATCGATTGTTATTTCCATTTTCTAGCAAATTTCCAGACCTAAACTTCGCCCCATATGTTCTCTATATTTACTCATGTTACGTGACACAAATAGTGACCCTGGGTTACCTGTGCCAAAAGTTTTGATACTCAGGGAACCTGACAGTCACCGTGTCCTTGCATTTTATTTTAGGTGGATGTTATATTTGAAGAGGACAAGAGTTTCTGGATGGCTGTGAATTCTTTCATGCAGAATGCTAAGTGCCCAATTGTTTTGATAAGCACAGGTCAGTGACTGCTGTGGTCACCAAAAACATACTAGTAATTGAAATGAAGATATGATCATCCGAGTGGTAATAGCGGAGCTCCACGCGCTTTTGCGCAAGCATAGCCCTATACCTAAGAAAATGTGGTAATATACGCATCCGAGAAATTGTGGTAATCAGGTGACCGTCTGCCCGTCCATCCGTACCACAGGCATACCAATGTAAAATAACTCAATTAACAGGTTATGCTAACCCAAATGCAATTCGAGGTTATTTTGACGGGAAATTGCATAGCCACCCGCGTCTTGTGAAGCAGAAGACAACTAGAGAGTCAATAAAGACGAAAACGGAAAGCGGATATTGTTTCTGTATCCGTATTACCCAAAGTATTAAGCTTAGATTAATTGTCATGTCCACAAATTTGGAATATAGAGGAAGAGAAGGACAGAACCGAAAAAGTGAAAGTAGGCGACAGGTCAGCGAAGCTCAACGAGAAAAAGAGAGACGGAGAGCTAGAGTGAGAGATATAAAACAAAGGAGACATTTTTTGTTGAAAGGACAACATGAAAATTTTGTAGCGGCTGGGGGAAAAAGAGAAATGCTAGCGGCCACTAAGGTGAAAATGAACGGCAGTGAAAAAGCAAAAGGAAAAAAAAAAAAAAAAACACGGAGGACATTTCCTCCATAAAGCGTGTAGCTAGGAAGTTTTGTAACTAGGATTTTGCTATCATGGCAACGTGACGTAACGACTTCTCCTTTCTATTACTTGTGTCGAACCAGTCTCCTGGACTCTGAAATCTGATACTATATGTACAATTTACAGTGTAACACAAAAATGTACACTGGGTTATGCGTTTTGGCCTTCCGTTCATGCTGAGACCAGCCAAAACACTCTGAAGATTAGTGTGTTGTAAATTAAGATCTATCACATATGATCAAGGTTCGCGCATAACCAAGCAAAAATATAAGTGAAAACGTATTGTTGCGCCGTGCACCAACTGAATTTTCCGTGGCTGAGTGTGGGCGGTCAAAACACAAGCTTTTGTAATATCATGGGACTGTAGGAGAGAGCTCTTGACAGGGTGGGGGTAGTAAGTTGGGATCAATTTAGGTTTCTGGGAAACTGCCCACCCACCCTTCCCCTATTTCTCACTTAGGGCAAAGTGATGACTTAGGGGAGGGGTAGGTGGGTAGTTTCCCAGAAACCTAAATTGACCCGTAAGTTGAGCTATTTTTTGACTCATGTTGTGTGTTGTGTGTTTGTGTGTTGTTTTTCAGAATCTCAAGTGAGCTGTGAAGGGAGGTATGATCAGATAAACGTGAAGTGTCCTTCGGTGAACCTACTGTCAGCTCATTTACAGCTGGTAGGACTGATGAACAACATATGTATTAATCCAGAAGACCTCAAGTCACTGGTGGCGCACAACAACTGCGATATCCGTAAGTCTTTTCTCAACCTACAATTCTGGTCAGCGTCACGTGGGGGGCTGAAGATGCCATACAAAAGGCCCGCAAACTTGAATGACTCCTCCCTCATTTTCAACACGAATCAAACTACCCAAACCAGTGGTCATACTAGAAGCGCAGAGTGTGTACCAACAAATAGTCTATCCCAAGACGTGCCACAGTCTCATCCTACCATGACTGGTGGAGTTTTGGATGAAGGGGGTGAAGAAAGTATGTTTCTCTCTCTGAGCGACTGGCAGATAATCAAGAGTGGAGGGCTCAGACGAAGTTCACGTTCTTCGCGCAGTGCCAGTTTGAAACCAACTGAGGCTGACAACTCTGACTCAGATTTCTGTGAACCAAAAAGGAAGACGCTGGTATGTGCGGACGGTTCCACTGATTCCGTCTTTGAAATCACTGACACCAACGACAGCCAGCCAGTCAACAGTGACAAGAGACCAGATGACTCTGTGCAACTTCCTTTTATGGATGGTCTACTGTTTGAAAGCGTCCTTGGCTTGCTGAACTGTTTACAGCAACCAGCTGAAGGGTCACTGTCAGCTCTGCAGAAAGGAGCGAAACCACAAGATGAACTACAGGTGTTACTATGGTTTATTCTAAAATATGGTCTATAAATAGCCCATTTCCGAGTTTCCTAAAGCCTCTGTTTCAAAGTGAGGCTAAGTGCAAAGCCATTGATATGAAAGTGATTTAACTCATTTTCACAAGAAAGGTTTTGCACCTAGGCTCGTTTTGAAGGTGATGAGAGTTTTTGGAACTCAGAAATGGCCTATTAGCAACTGAAGGCGCCTTTGTTACGATCGATGCAGATCCAGTCCTGCATTAAATTAAAAACTCCTTTCCGTGATGAATACTCCCTCTAATTCGCCAGAATGAGCTCTTAAATGCGGTATTTCTCTAAAAAGGTCCTAACAGAGAGGAGAAGTCGTTACGTCACGTTGCCATGGTAACAAAATTTTTGGATGACAACAAACCGAAAACGTCACTTATAAAGTGAATTGGCACCGCTTCAAACTTCATCGATCTTATTCAGTTTCATTTAATTTGGCAAATGTTGGCGAAATTTCCTCGAGTTGAATCCGAAAGGACCGTATCTGAGTTTAGAAGAGGAAAAAGACAACTTTTGTGTTGTGTTCACCTACTCTATAAAGTAAGCGTGTGAATAAAATAGCGTGATGCACGTGAAAAATTGGTTTGGCAATAAAAACTTTTTACTTTTTTGCCGTTCTCCTTCCGTCGCCGTCGTCGTTGGTGTTGTTGTCATCCATAAATAGTGCTACCATGGTGACGTGACGTCATACTTCTCCTCGGTATATAATAATAGTGGTAACATCTTTTTTCCTTTCTAATCGCTTTGTAGACTTGTTACTTAGTTACTTGATATCTGATACGGCTAAAAGCAAGGCAAATAATGGTTTGTTCATTATTTCGGCAGGTCCGTAACATACCCGAGAAGTTACACCTGTCGCATTTTAGCCAAGTTCTTGGCGTAAACCTTACCCATGCAAACCTTAGCGGCCTTCTGCCCTTTTTTGTGGATCCATCCGTTTCACAGCAGAAGGAGGAAGTGCCTGACCAGTCTGAAGCCAAGGAAAGTAACTCTGCGCCTTCTGATATCGCGAAAGATGTTACAACCAAGGGCGAGAATATGTTTTCAGGTATATTTTCAGATACTAGCCTCTTTGATGATGGCACGGAGCCTCCCATTAAGATTACTAAGAAGAAAGAAGGAATAGAGAAAGGGCTAGAGGAAGGATTAGTAGAGGCCAACAAGAACGCACCGAGTTCCCAGGACTCAACGGACACAGGGTTCAGTGAGTCACAGACAAAAGAGGAGACTGGGGAGAGTGGCGAAGGTCAAAATCATGAAATGAAGACAGGCATCGCTGTTAAAACAGGAAGTGAACTTGTTCACCGGAAGCCATCCCAAGGTATATGTCAAACTGAACATGTAAATATACCGTATTTCCTCGAATAATAGCCTTCCATCGATTAATCGCCTCCTTCGGACGGAAATATTTAAAATGATCGCATTCCTCGAATAATCGCCTCCCCTCTGCACCTCCCACCATCTTATCTTCCTTTTATCCCCTCCCTGTCAAGTGTAAGTGCAAGGTGATCCAGCAAAACTGATAAGTGACGATTCAAGGTGTGAAAATTAATCAAGGAACTAAATTTGGAACACTTAAAAAACCCATGTTCAGTTAGCCGAGTTTGATGTGAATATTTTTTTATTTAATGGCATAATGAAACAAAGTACATTCAGGGCACGACTTCCAGTGAGCAATATTTGAAATAATCGCCTTCCCTCGAATAATCGCCCCCTTTTTGTGCGAAAAAAGAAATAATCTCCCCCGGCTATTATTCGGGGAAATACGGTAGAGCCAAAACGTTGTTTGGTGCATTCAGCTTTTCATTGTAATAGCTCTGTGAAAAAGATCTCTTAGTCTTGGGTTTTTAGTTTTGTCAAACATGGACTGTCAAACTCATCGTTCAGTTTTCTTTTCAGGCGAAAAATTAACCAGCAAAGCTCTCGAAATCTTTGCACAGTGTGCAGAAAGCATGTCATTTGCTGACGCCTATTGTCCAAACCTTTCTAACACCCAGTCCAACTCGGCGCGGTTTGGCTGGTGGGGAGCGCAGCTGAAACCTGGACTTACAGACGAACACGTGACTGTGGAGGAGTCAAGCGATTGGCTGGCTTGTGAAACGCGTTCATCTATCCGTGGAGCGTTGGAAGTGGCCAATTTAGATGATTGTTTTGTCAAAGTTAAGTCTTTGTCTGAAGATCTTACAGAAACTGGAAAGTCTCCTGTCGAAGAAATCACAGTAGATCAAACCTCCACATGCAAAAGTGTGCTATGTGACTTGGAAAGATTATCATCAGATTTTCCTCCACGTGATTTCAATTCTGTAGTGCGTTTGGATGCAGTCACTCAGGCACAAAAGAGGTAAGATGTTAGCACAAAAGTCCTTAAGATAGTGGTGCAAAATTCGTAATAATCTGTGAATTATGGGTGCCCTCATGAAACAGTGCCAGTGCTTCATTTTGGAAAATAATTTGCAGTTCTCCTTGCCCCCATCTTATACAATGTTGAAACTCGGAAAAAAAAAAAGTCTGGATACACCTGTCCAACGTTGCTTGTGGGTTGGGAGGAGTGGTTAAGCATGTGTGATTTCTAAAAAGTATTTTCCTAAGACTTTTGTCCAAGACTGTATCTAGCTAGCTCAGTAAATTGTTAGTTAGTCAGTAAGTCAGTAAGCCAGTCAGTTAGCTAGCTAAGTACCTTGTTAGTAGGGTTGTAACACCAACTAGCCGAGTGGCCGTCAGAGTAAAAACTGCGTTGTTGTCTCTTTTTTAAATGTTAATGACCACAAAAAGTTGATTAAAACTGGTTTGGCGGAAAATTAAAATAATCAACCAACTGGCAGTTAAGCATTTGACAGCCCCAAGATTTTATCCAGGATTACAAATTAACTGATAATGAGTTGTTGTTGCTTTTTTTAGTTCAACTGCAAGCCGACGGAAACTTTACAGTTGCCTGAGTTCCTGCATCCCCGTTCTCAACCACTGTAACCATTGCAGTGTAGTATGTGACTACATTCCCACCTTTCGCCTGCTTTGTCACTCTGAAAGACTCCGAGAGGCAGCTCATATCAAAAGAAGGTATGGAAAATCCTTTAGTGACTTGCTTTGTTATTAATAGGGCCGTTTTTATGAGGAAATATAAGACGCGTCCTAAATAAGGGTGGATTTTCACTGTCGCTTAATTTACATGCGTACGCGCAAAAAGTGTATGTGCGTAAATACAATAGAGGCAATGTGTGAAGAGTCGCGCGTAAACGTAAGAGTTGAAACTCGCTCAACTCCTACGTCTGTATTCGACTCTTCATATATTGCCTCTATTTCATTCATGCGCGTACGCACGTAAATTACGCGACAGTGGCGATCCACCTTAAGACGCAAACTCGTATAAATGGCACATTTCTTTTGGAATAAGACTCGATTAGATAAGACGCGTGTTATCTAAGAACAACCGTTAACACCTGTTCTTAGATAAGTCGCGACTTAGCTAAGGCGCGTCTTATTTCAGACGAAATGCGCCGTTTATACGGGACAGTTTGCGTCTTATTTTTACTCGTATAAGTGGCCCTGAAAACATCGATGTCGCGTCTTATTTCAGACGAAATGTGCCGTTTATGCTGGACCGTCTGCGTCTTATTTAGTACGCGTCTTATTTTTACTCGTATAAATGGCCCTATTGTATAAAACATCGATGACGGAATTTAAACAAGTGTTTCCAATTTTCACGGTTACTCAACATTAACGGGCGCAACTCGCAAGAAGTAGGGCTAATTTTGGCGAGAAGGGCAAACCTAGTCTGTCTGCAGTTTCCAGTTGTCCTTGAAAGTCGGTCGAACTGCCTTGCCACTTTTTGTTGTTTTGCGAGCAGTCACGTGTCGTTTCTTGACCAGTCAGAAGCAACTCAGTAGTCATGACGGGTACGCGCTCTTTTTCCCGTTCCTGAGACCCGCAACTTGTATTTTTTTTTAAATTCTCCTTGGCTCAGATGATTGACGTAGCTTGTCGTGATTGGTTAATAGAGAGGAGAAGTGTGGCGTCATGTGACCATGTTAGCAAAATTTCTAGATCTCAACAGTCTTTATTGATAGAGATGGCCATTGGCATTGTCGAACGATGGAAGAAAAGTATGGGCTCCCGTTTGTGCAGTCATGCACAGGAAAGTCATACAAGTCTATTTTTTCTTTCTTTTTTTTTTTTCTGCCACATTTGCAGGACCATGCTACCATGGCAACAGAACGTAACGACTTCTCCTTTCTATTGCTTTAGATGTAGTTTTAAGTCCTAAACTGTAAAGTATGTTTTTCCTTTGCTAGATTCCTTCATTATCTGGACTCTAATTCGTTCCCCATTAACCGTGCAACCATGGATGCCTTAGCCGACTCTTATATGGTTTCTTAACATCAACGAAGGAACGCGGTTTGTCGTTTTTCCCATGAAGCAATGCGAATGACTCTGTTTTTAGTTCTAAACCTAAATAATGCATCATAATTAGTTTATCCTAAGTATCAGAATATCCTCTTGTAAATAAACCTATTCAGCCACATGCGAAGAAAGGCTGCTGTATTCTATATGTACATTGCTTCTCTAGGCGTGTTTTTATTGATTATGGTCACTGTTTGGTCATACAGGGTCAAAAAAACCAAGTGTATAGTTTGACTCAGGCTGCGCTCTCTCCCCTATACCCCCTTTGAAAAACAAAACGCGTTTGCTTTTAATGTCACATTTACGCTGGTGTGTTTTAGGTAATTATAATAGCAAAGGCGGGAACCGTCCTGGAAATATTGATTTCCTCGAGACAAAGAGCGGAGATTCCAGGGACCTTTCATTTTTTCGAGAAACAGTGGGTGGGAAAGGGAACTTTAGCATCAACTGAAAGTTCACACTGCTCAACCTCGTCCCCAGCGCTTTTCCCTTAAAAAATGGCTCGGGGGGGCGGGGAGTTCTTTTTCCCGCCCCACCCAATTTTTAAGGGAAAGGCCCTGGAGACGAGGTTGACACTGCTGTGCCCAGCCCAAAATATTTATTATTGTGGCCCTTAACGAACACATTACTTGCAGAAATCTATCGCAGACATCCTAAAGAACAGTGGTGCTTGGCGTTAAAATTAATAAACCGTCACCAAAGTAACGACATGTGTTCAGGGCGCTGATTATTGACTTTTGAAATAAATAGCTAGGTGTGACTTTTTACCGTAAATAATTTTGTGCGAACTAACTACACATGAAGAATAATTTTTAAATCGTTTCAGATCTAGATTTATTTTCATTGATAGTAAAAGTATTTCAGTTAAAGTTTGTTTATAATATTCTAATGTTTTTTCTCTAATAAGAGTTAAACCAAACATAATTTTATTATCAACATAAATTGTATCAGTGGGATTGTATTTGTTGTTGATGTCTAATAAAGAGAATCACCTAAATCTCATGACTGACGGAACAGAAAGCTCGACTGGATGAGCCACAGGCAGCCCAGTAATAAGCCGTATGTATAATTGCGGGACATATACGGCTTTCGGGCACCCTGAGGAAGAGAATTAGTGAAGAGAATTTGAATGAAGGGGCTCGGCCCGGTTGCATAAAACGATCGTTTGCAATTTACTGTAACGCAACAAAAAAAAATTGGAAACCGTCCAGTGGAAGAAGCCAAGAAAATGAAATATTATAAAAGACTAAAATATAAACGATTTGTCCAAGTCTCAGGTCTTTGTGGCCCACAGTTTCTGAGTTATTTGCCGAAACGTTTCCCGCACCTTTGTAGAGCTTTGTATGGAGACGCCATATTGGTGCACCAATATGGCCGCCGGAAATCAACAAAAACATATGGAGTTCACTTTTGCTATAAAAGCTCTTTATTTTTATTCGAGAACTAGGATACGTGCGCATAAACATATCTTCTAATACTTGAAATGGTTATAGTGCTGAAAATCAAGAGGAGAGACTTTTTTCAACGAGACAGCATTCCTATTTTGGTGTCACGCACTGTGAAAACTCGGGAGTTCAAATTGCTGTATTTTCGAAATGAAACATGCTATGGGAATGGAAACTTGTACAAAGATTTATTTTTTGTTTATCTTCAACTTAGTGTAAAGAAGAATTCGTAAAACCTCGCTATTTTGAGTTGCAATTTGATGAGGTCACTGTGAAAGCCATCTATAGTCTCAGTTTAACAGAAGAAGGAAACCGAGGACGTAACTAGGCAATAGGCTTTGGAAACTATGCGTTTGACTGTTCACTACGTTTTCTTGATGTCTGCCGCTAATAGAATGCGCTCGCTGCCTGCAGCTGCAAAGCTATTGTGTGTGTGCTTTTTTAAAAACTTTTTGGAAGACAAAGTGGCAGCCGAAAATGCAAATTTAGGGTTGGCCTTTTCAGCTGGCAACATGTATTTGGAAAGTCGCAGTAACAAGATTAGCTTCATGCACGACCGCAATTGAGTGAAGGTAAGTTTGCTTACGAGTGGGTGAGCGAGTGCGTGAGTGACTAAGTAAACGGCAACCATTCGTTCATTTTATTTTTAAAAATCGTCTATTCACAAATTTTACAACTAATTTAACACTTTTAGGACAATCACCCTTGTTTGCATAATCTTCTTGCTACAACATTTTGACAAAAAAAACTTATAATTTAAAAACTGCCCAAAGAGATCGAATCGAACGTATGGAAGTTGGTGGGCTGCAAGGAGGAGAACAATTGACTTTTAAATGATAACAAAGTTACTATAATCAGCCACAAAATTAGTTGAGACAATTTGCCATGAAGGGTCTCTCTGACGTTTTGCCAACTTAAAAAGGGGATACGTTCATTTCATCGTGGCAACAAAAACAACAACCTTAAGGGTTTATTATTACATCCAACTAGAGAGAATTTTACATTTTTTGATGGCTAATGGAAAAAAAATTGTTGCATAGAATGATACATTATGATAACAAGGGTGTCTAGCGCCTAGCAGAGAACAGCAATTTTGAATTTATCCGATTTATCTTTGGTTTAAAAGGTTAAAATCTTAACGTTACCTAGTTCGAAAAAATAAATCGGCACTCACTTTAAGGTGTTTCGATGCAGTTTTTCGGAAACCATACTGATGTTTTTCAATCGCCTTTAAAGTGATTTTGTTCTTGTCCGATCGCTACAAACTTTTCACCAGTGATTTTGACTATGAATTGAAGTTTGTCAAAATGTAGTTTTTAGTAACATCGATATCATGATGACAACAATAAACAAAAAACTTTGAAATAGATAAAATCAGAATTTTGCGCGATCTAGACCTGCTATTAAATGTTTAGCAAATAAACTCCGTGAGAAGTAAAAGATTCTGTATGTTTGAACTCAAATAAAACGTAAATATATTTCAGACCTTACATTTTAAATTGTTTTAAAAAAAGTTCTGAATAACTCAAATTAATATTAAGTAGCGTCAGAAGGCTGCTTAAAAGAATACTGTCGAGCCGTTTTAGAGATAATACAGAAAAGCGCTGAAAGTCAAAATTTAGAATAAAGTTGCACTTCGACAGGTGGTGAGAAAACAGGTTAGTTTTCAGGATCGCAAGAAAGAAAAGACACCAAAATTTCCCAGCATCGAAATATGATGTTAAGCAGCCTTCTGACGCCACTTGATATTAATGTGATTTTTGTTTAGAACTTTTTTATTAAACAATTTATCACGGCTATTGAAAATATATTTACGTTTTATTTGAATTCAAACATACAGAATTTTTTACTTCTATT